TATTATAAATTAATAGGTGCAACATCATATAGATGTTCATTAAACATAAACATAATAAAATATTAGGGTTGGAATCAAACGAAAACATAATTACAATAAGAGAATATAAGAACGTTTATATCAAATGTGACATCACAATAAAATCGCATGTGTTTAAGGAACATGATTAATGCAGAAGTATGTGTACGATTTGGCCCGCGACCTAGGTCGCTCACATATCTGATACAAAATCGTGTAAAATCACATGTAATATAGGCGTTCTTGTTCTTTTATTTGAATCTGTCTCTAAAACTATATTTATATATATGTGAAGATTCAAACAAAAACACATATATTTTCCGAAAACATGATAACTCCCTTATCACATGTGATAATACACGTGAAGGGACCTGGTGGTGTACGGGTGACTTGGTCCACGACTTAGGTCGCTCCAAGGTCACTTGTGTCTCTGATTTAGTATGTAATGTGATTAAATATATTATTTATTTAGTTCAAGTTTTTATGTTGTATTCAAGCCTTTTTTGTAGATACCCTTTGGGTATAAATAGATAGTTTTGTTATTGTTTTTGTAACTCTTAAACCTCTTGTAACACTTGTAACCTTTGAAGCTAATATCAATCTTTGAAGCTTTCACAATTCTCTCTCTCTCTCTCTCTCTCTCTCTATCTATCTACAAATCTTAATTCTGCCATTGTGAATATCTTGAATTCTTGATAATATGTTGTTGAATGATTAATCTGGGTTTATCAATTAGCATCAGAGCAGATTACAGTAATTCAAATTAGATTTTGAACAAGATTTGATGGATTTCTTAAAGCATTTTTGAATTTTCTTGATCGAACATTTCTGTCCGAATTTCTCAATTTCAAGATCGAATTCTTGAGGTTTTTTAATTGAATTTTGATTGTGGTTTGTTTAGAAATACTTTGTGATTGAATCTATGTGATAATTTCAATCAATTTGCTAGAAATCAGAGTTTAATTTGGATTTTTTGTGTTCGACAATTTACCAGAAAGTTCTTGAAGTTTCTTGTTCGATTTTGATCAAATTGACTGGTTTTCGATCTATTTTTGACAAGATTGTGTTCATAAAACTTGTTTAAAATGGATTTTCGAGCAAATCTATATTGGTGTTAGAAACAATTCTTGAGTTTTGTGGGTTTTTGTTGAAATTGTTCAAGCTTCTGTCAGATCCGAGTATATCGCTTGTTGAATATTGCTTTGAGCGAGATTCTTGAAAAATGTTGGTCCCAGTTGGAACTACAAGAGTTTATAGGTAACAGTATGTAGAGGGTGGATACAAACACAACAGCTTTCATTTTAAAAAATATATCTATACTATATTATAAAGCATTTGGCTAAAACTCTTAAAAACTCTTAAAATTCTTAAAAACTCTTAAATCTGTTCATCCCTAAACGATTTCATCCATATCCGATTTCATCCTATATCTGAATTCGTGTAACTAACTGCAGATAAACACAATCAAATACAAGATAAA